GATTTCATTTGTTATTAATAAAGATACTTAAATATATAAACCTTCTGCTTACCTTTTCTATTGTTTATAACTATAAACGTTTCGAACTGCGTGCAACATTATTGATAAAAACCTTAATAGTTATATTTTGATTTCAATTGATCGACCTTCGCCCAATTTCGATAAAAATATACTATCATCTTAATAATACCCATATGAATTAGGTTACATTTCGTCAAATTGTAATAATATATTATCGTTCGGCCCAAAAGGACAACAGCTTATTTTATTTTAAACTTACATTTCACCCTTTGTTCTTAAAAGAGCCATTCAACAAGCTGAATATGTTAAATCAACAATTAATTCAAAAAATACTTGGATATGTCTTTTCAGGCAAATATAAAGGTACGTTTTGAGTTTAATTCTAAATAATCGGTATATTAAAATATTGATATTATTAATCATAACTTTTAATTTTTTTGAGTAAGAGGTTTAATTACTCCAAAATAATGGTGTGATTATAAAAAAGCTATTTTTTAATAAGTTAATAACTACGGATTAAAACAAATGTGCCTATAAGAGGGGAGTAATTATATAGGAGGTCAACTGTACAACAAATTATATGAGAAATAAAATTACAAGTCTATATATACAAAAAAAAATATAAATTAAAATAAAAAATAATTTAAATAATTAGCTGACCAGCGACAAAACTTTTAAATGGTTGATGAAATTATGTAACCACGAGAGGCACAGTCATTAAAAGTCGGAATTTCATTGTAATAATTCGTCCGACAATCAATTAATTTCTAAATTTAAAACTTCCCGATCATCTAAATTTGGTAATATAAATACGCCAATACTTTATTTGTGTAATTTGAAAAAAATAAAAAAAAAAACTCATTTTTTTCCTTGTAATTATGACTGAAACACAAGAAATCGTTTACTTCGATTGGATAGAAAAGGCAATATCAGAAGATTACATCAAATACTATGATTATGCAAAGTTCGTAAATAAGAAAGAAATTAGCAATGGTTCTTATGGAAATATTTCTCGTGCAAACTGGAACGATTCCGATACCGTTATGGTTATAAAATCTTCTTACGTTTCAGATATTAAAGAAATCGTTAATGAGGTATGTATTACAAATATTGCAATTCTTCCTCTTTATTATAAAATATAAATAATTGCTTAATATAATAGATAAAAATGCAACGTGAGGTTGATTATCATGAGAATATTATAAAGTTTTATGGAATATCAAAATTAGAAACGGATAAGTATTTGTTGGTTATGGAGTACGCTGATGGCGGAACATTACAGTCATATTTAGAAGAAAGTTTTGAAAAACTTGAATGGATTATAAATGTGAATTAGCCTATCAACTTGCAAATGCTGTAGCATGTATGCATAACGAAGGAATCATTCATTGTGATTTGGTAAATGCATCCATTTAAAATAACTTGATTTGATTTTTGATTGTAACATATACTAAATAATATGAACTCTATAGCATGCGCAAAATATACTTATACATAAGAACAATATAAAACTAGCAGATTTTGGTTTATCCCAGAAAGTTAATGATGTTTCTAATCATTCAACAGATGTATTTGGTGTTGTTCCTTACGTTGATCCAGAATACTTGAAAAATATTAGTAATAAAAATAAAGATCAACTCTATTTTTTAAATCCAAAGTCTGATGTTTACAGTGTTGGAGTTCTTCTTTGGCAAATTTCAAGTGGGCATCGACCTTTTTATTCCAAAAACGAAGAATATGATGCAAGTTTAGTTATAGAAATCATAAAAGGCCGAAGAGAAAAAAAGTATCGAGGGTACTTCTACCGAGTATAGTGAATTATATAAAGGTAATTAAATATGCATACATCACGTTTTATGCGTGATTATTTAAATGACAATATATTTTAATTTTTTAAGCATGTTGGAGTGATGATTCATATGACCGTCCTACCCTTCAACAAGTTGTTGATTCACTCAGAGCAATTATTTCTGAGGATAATGAAAAATTTAATTCTATTATTATTCACACGAAAAATAAAATAGAATCGCAAAATGATATTCATTATAATTCAGCATCTTCTAACATGCCATGCATGAATAGTAATAATTCCGAGCTATTATTAAGTAAATTGATACAAGAATTTAACTTGGATTCAATTAACAATGAAGGGCATTTACATATATTACATCAAGCAGAAAAATTATTTTTGAAAGTATTTGATGTCGAAGACAGTATAGATATGCTTATTGATAAATTAATGGTTCTTTTAATTCAAACACATGATGAGGGAAATGATTTTAATGAAACAAAACATTTCATCAATCAATGTATTTTTCATTCAAACAAAAATTCAAATGATATTTTTGAATGGCTTAAAGTAAATCAAGTGGAATCAAAACACGTCTTTCTCTTAGGATTTTTCTATTTTAATAATATCAATTTTGAAATAAATGAATATGAAGCATTGAAACTGTTTTTAAGTGCTTCAGCAAAAAATTATCCTATTGCACAAGTTTATCTTGCAAAATGTTATGAAGAAGGATGTGGAATTGAAACAAGTTATGATTTAGCATTTAATTGGATACAAAAAGCCGTAGGAAATAAAAGTATCTTTCGAAAACTTAATCTTGGCATTTATTATGAAAATAGTATAGGAACCGAAAAGGATTTGAATAAAGCATTTTATTTGTATCAAGAAGTGGCAAATAATAAAAATTTAAGAGAATTATATAATTTAGGTAAATGTTATGAATTGGGTAAAGGAATAGAAAAAAATGAATTTAAAGCATTTAAAACATATTTATTATTATCCGAAAAAGACAACATAAATGGAAAATTTAGACTTGGAATTTGTTACAATTTAGGAATTGGAACTGAAATTAATAAAGAAAAAGCATTTAATACATGTGAAGATTTAGCTGAAAAGGATTATAATTATGCACAATCTTTTTTGGGTTATTTATATGATTTTGGTGAAGGAACAAAAAGGGATTTAGAAAAGGCTATCTATTGGTATCAAAAAGCAGCAAAAATGAACATAATACAGCACAATATAATCTTGCTATTTCGTATGAAAAGGGTGAAGGAACGGAAAAGAATTTAGAAAAAGCACTTTATTGGTATCAAAAATCAGCAGAAAATAATAATCAAAATGCACAATATAATCTTGCAGTTTTATATAAAAATAGTAAAGAAATTGAAAAGAATTTAGAAAAAGCATTTTATTGGTATCAAAAAGCAGCTGAAAATGATAATAAAAATGCACAAAATAATCTTGCTATTTTATATGAAAAAGGTGAAGGAATTAAAAAGAATTTGAAAAAAGCATTTAATTGGTATCAAAAAGCAGCTGAAAATGATAATAAAAATGCACAATATAATCTTGCAGTTTTATATAAAAATGGTAAAGGAATTGAAAAGAATTTAGAAAAGGAATTTTATTGGTATCATAAAGCAGCTAAAAATAACAATGAAGATATACAATATTATTATTTTATTATTTACTATCAAAGGCGTTATGGAAAAGTAAAAAATTTAGAAAAGGAATTTTATTGGCATCAAAAAATAGCTAATAAAAATATACAAAATAATTTTGCATTTAATAGGAAAATGGTAAAAAAATTGAAAAGAATTTAAAAAATGCATTTTATTTGATATTAAAAAGCTGAAAATAATAATAAAGATGCATAAAATAGTCTTACTATCTTATATGAAAATAGTAAAGAAATTGAAAAAAATCTAGAAAAGACATTTATTGGTATAGTATTAGAGAATTAGGCTTTTTGACACATTATGTCTAAATGCTTCTAGGAGGTTGTCTTGGGTATCATATTTCTTTCATATAGATACACAAAGCTCAAACCCTTTTTAGATTCCTATTTAATATTATATCTATTTTAAAGTTCGTTTTCCTTTTGCTTGCTATTCTGAAAAACCAGAAATTTTTGACATATTTCATCCAAATAAACTCAGAAGATCATCTTGTATATTAAAAGTTTTTCATATAACATATAATGTAATAATACTTACAAACCTAAGAAAATAAATTTGTCTTCTTGCTTGTTAAATGCTTTATAATCATTTATATTTTAGTAGTAAGTTTTTTAGCACAAAAAGCTCATTGACTTTCAAAAGGTCGTTTTGGGTATCAAAAAAATAAATAAATATCTTTAGCACTAACCTATCACTAATCTATCACTAGTCTAAATTTTTGCAAGTTTTTAACATTGATAAAATTCTTAAATGCGATATTTACCTACATGTTTTCTATAGGCATTATAAATAGATAAAGTTAATTTTCCGCATTCTATACACAGAATTTGTTTAGGAAAATTCCAATAAACTTTACACCCTTTTAGTCGATAACACCCATTATTGCATACCTTTCTGGTTTTAAGAATATCAGGACAATTATAAAATCACATACTAATTTCTTCTTTTGAATAAATTTGTAACTTTAATTATTCAAATAAATTAATTTATATTTTAAACTTTTTGTAACCATATATACTCTTTGGGAAAAAATGAGCTGAATACTAGGTAGTAGGGTTTTGCAATTCGATTTGATATTTGAAAATTTGATTTGTAAATCAAATCAAATACAAAATCAAATTTATATTTGATTTTATTCAATTAAATTCAAATCAAAAAATGATTTATTTGATCAAATCCAAATTAATGTTTGATTTTATTCAATCAAATTCAAATA